GCTCAAGAGATAGCATTACTAAACGCTTCCGCTTTCGGTCTACGAGGGTACAGAAACACATTCTCCCCTCTCGTTGCTATGCATCTCCTAGATAGATCTTGTGTGATTGTAGGAAAATTTTGAAATACTGCGTTCCCCAACACGCACACATTCGCGGCTGGATAGATAACGCTACCTTCGCTTCAATCTAGTGGGTCCCAGCTGTCAGGGGCTAAGAAGGTAGTTCCTTCTGTGCGAAGATAAAGCCGGTGGGTCCCAGCTATCAGGGGGAAACCTTTTTTCACGAAATACAGAGGCCCTTCCGGTAGGTCCGAGGTGTCAAGTGCAGGAATCATTATTTTGCACGTAATAAGGAGGCACTTCCTTGCGTGCGGCCATGGACCCAACTGTCAGCCTCTCCACTTACAGTGCTCTTCTGATGGTTGTCGTTTGTTGACCGCGTTGATGATGCCGCACCGCCTGAGAGCACGAAGGTGGTGAACGACAGCGCGACCTAGGAAGGGAATGACCCCGAGCTGGGGAATACGCAGCAGTGGATGCCCACACGGAGAGGAGTACGAGGGTTGACTGCTTCGGCTACGGTTTGAGGCTGCCATCTCCGGAGAATAACAGGGGGTGTGGGTGAGTAGAGGGAAGGCCTGGCCAGTAGTAGTATGGTCAGGCGGTGAGGCCTGCGCGGCAGCACAGCCGGCCAGGGGAGGCTGGAGCAGGCGTGATTTATATCCTACTCATGCTTGCATTCAATGATGGTTAATCTCAATCCATGTTTATGACTATTGTCGCTCTATAGTTGGTCGCTTCCTAGTATTTTTCTAGCCTTCACTTGTACTAAGCGGGAATACTGCTTGTGCATCCACTTCCATAAACCCCAAAGTTGTTCCATGTGAGTCCACCATACCTTCCTACATGCGGTATTTACCTGCCATTCCAAGTAAATTTGCATGTGCCAAACTCTAAACCTTCAAATGATAATCTGTTTTGTATGCTCGAATCACTCATGTACCAACTAGGGCTATCAGTATCTTCCATGCTAGGTGGGTTATTCTCATGATGAGTGGACTCCACTCATCATTCACAAGAAAATGGCGGGTAACTGGGATGCCCAGTCCCATCCTAAAATCAAATCAAAATAATTGCAAACAAAACTCCCCCAGGACTGTTGTTAGTTGGACGGTACCCATTGTTTCGGACCAGCCGTGGAGTGTGCTTGTTGGTGGTGGGGGAGTATAAACTTTACCATTCTGTTTGGGAACTGCCTATAATGTATGTAGCATGGAAGATACTGAGATATCTTGGTTGTTATGTTGACAATGAAAGCATACCGCTCAAAAAATTATTTATCTCTATTTCAAAAACTCGAGCTCCAGCACCTCTGCAAATCCCTGCTTCCCTCTACGAAGGGCCTATCTATTTACTTTTATTGCTGAGTCATCATCCTATTGTAAAAAGCACCAGTTAGAGAGCAGCACCGTCATTTGTATGCATTGTCATTTATTTATATTGAGTATGACTGTGACTGGATCTCTTTTACCATGAATTACAATGTCTAGTCAGTCCTTGATCTTCAGGGATGCTCTGCATTTATGTTTTGCGGTCTCAGAAAGGGCTAGTGAGATACCATCTTGTTATATTATATCATGATTGTTTTGAGAAAGTGTTGTCATCCGAGATTTATTATTATTACTCGCTAGTTGATTATGCCATTGATATGAGTAATTGTGAGACCTAAACTTTATTGTGAATATGGTTAGTTCTTTCCTGAAAGCTTGAATGATGGCTTTACATATTTGCAACAACAATACCAAACAGAGTTTGTAAAAGTATTTCTATATCACTTTCAGTTTGTCAACTGAATTGCTTGAGCACAAGCAATGGGTTAAGTTTGGGGGAGTTGATACATCTCCGTCGTATCTACTTTTCCAAACTCTTTTTCCCTTGTTTTGGACTCTAATTTGCATGATTTTAATGGAACTAACCTGGACTGGCGTTGTTTTCAGCAGAATTGCCATGGTGTTATTTTTGTGCAGAAATAAAAGTTCTCGGAATGACCTGAAACTTCACGCAGATGATTTTTGTAATTAATAAAAAATATTGGCGAAAGAATCAAGAGAAGGGGCCCACACCCTGGCCACAAGGGTTGGGGTGCGCCCTCCATCCTTGTGGGCCCCCTGGACCTCCACCGACCTCAACTCCAACTCCATATATTCACGTTCGGGGTGAAAAAAATTAGAGAGAAGGATTCATTGCGTTTTACGATACGGAGACGCCACCAAGCCCTGTTCTTCCTCGGGAGGGCAGATCTGGAGTCAGTTTTGGGGTTCAGAGAGGGGAAATCGTCGCCATCGTCATCATCAACCATCCTCCATCACCAATTTCATGATGCTCACCGTCGTACGTGAGTAATTCCATCATAGGCTTGCTGCACCGTGATGGGTTGGATGAGATTTACCATGTAATCGAGTTAGTTTTGTTAGGGTTTGATCCCTAGTGTCCACTATGTTCTAAGATTGATGTTGCTATGACTTTGCTATGCCTAATGCTTGTCACTAGGGTCCGAGTGCCATGATTTCAGATCTGAACCTATTATGTTTTCATGAATATATTTGTGTTCTTAATCCTATCTTGCAAGTTATAGTCACGTACTACGTGTTGTGATCCGGCAACCCCGGAGTGACAATAGTCAGTACACTTCCCGGTGTTGACCGTAGTTTGAGGAGTTGATGTATTCACTAAGTGCTAATGCTTGGTCTGGTACTATATTAAAAGGAGGCCTTAATATCCCTTAGTTTCCAAAAGGACCCCGCTGCCACAGGGGGGTAGGACAAAAGATGTCATGCAAGTTCTTTTCCATAAGCATGTATGACTATATTCGAAATACATGCCTACATTATTATATTGATGAGTTTGAGCTAGTTCTGTGTCACCCTATGTTATAACCGTTGCATGATTAATGCCATCCAACATAATTATCCATCATTGATCCACTGCCTACGAGCTTGTTTCATATTGATCTTTGTTAAGTTACTTTTCCGTTGCCACTGTTACGATTGCTACAAAACTACTACTGTTACTTTTTCCACCATTACCGCCACTTCCATAGTACTTTGCTACTAAATACTTTGCTGCGGATATTAAGTCTTTCAGGTGTGGTTGAATTGACAACTTAGCTGCTAATACTTGAGAATATTCTTTGGCTCCCCTTGTGTCGAATCAATAAATTTGGGTTGAATACTCTACCCTCAAAAACTGTTGTGATCCCCTATACGTGGGTTATCAACCACCACACGGGCAAGGCACCTGGCGCGCCCTGGTGGGTTGTGCTCACCTCCTTCACCTTCCGGTCCTCCCACGAAGCTTCTAGTGCCTCCTTTGTTCCAAAAAAATCGTCAAAAAGTTTCGTTGCATTTGGAGAACATTTATTTCTGCACAAAAAACAACACCACGACAGTTCTACTGAAAACAGCATCAGTCCGGGTTAGTTCCATTCAAATCATACCAAAACCATATAAAATTGTTTTAAACATGGCATGAATACTTCATAAATTATAGATACATTGGAGACGTATCATATAGTAAGATTCTTGTTGTCCAATCTGATTGGCATGGTGAATACAAAAAACTCAATTCCTTTTTTTAGCAAATAGGAATCTCCCATCATGTTTCTTGTCCACATGCTCATCAACAGAATGGTTTCACAGAAAGCATAGGCATAAGTTCAAGTAGGCATGGCTTTACTTGCTGCTACCTCTATGTCACTCAAATTTTGGGATAAAGCCTTTCTTACACTGTTCATCTTATCAACATCTTGCCTAGTCATGTCATCAACAATGAAACTTGTTGGGACCGAGAGTATATCAACCAGAGGGGGTGAATGGGAGATTCAAAAATTCTTTTGAATGTTTTAAACTGATCCCAAACACAGCGGTGGAAATATGGTTCGGTAGATAAAAACTTAAACAAGCACTTTATCTAGGAACGTATCTATCGAGGAAAGAGGCAATGATGGTATCACCATAAGATATCACAGGTTTGACAATGATGATGGTAATGCAATATGCTAACAGATGCAGCAACATGAGAGAAACAAAGGATAAGATCTACGATACATAACCACGAGAAAGAACTATGACAGGGTAAATGAAAACAACACAGGGAGACAAGCAAGATTGAATAAGTACCACTACAAGAAATATGTCAACTTGCGACCATCACTATTGGTCACTGAAAGGTCATTGTTTTTCATTTGTGACTTTTTTGTGACCAAAAACAGATGGTCAAAAGCTGGCGGTCGTAAACTGAAATTAACTACCTTCTCTGTGAGACGTGGAAACTGAAATTAACGACCTTCTTTGTGAGAAGGTCGTGGAATTCCACGACCAAAACAAAAGGTCATTGATTCTATGACCTTCTGTTTTGGTCGCTAGCTGTCTGCCCAGGACACGTCGGATCCGACGTGGCAATCTGACGTGGCAAAATTGCGACCAATTAAAAAGGTCGTTGATAAGATTCAGCCCGGTCCGATTAGGTGTCTATATGGGCTGAGCCCATTAATTCAGCCCATTTAGTATGTTTTCCCTGGTAATTTCTACGCGGGCCATACTTCCATATTAGGGGGCCTCGGCCTTTTTGCAATATATTTATTATTATTATTATTTTCTGAGCCTTTTTTGTTTCACTTTTTAAACAGACCAATGCTTGTTGGGATGTGGCCTTTTTCAGCCCAATTAGTTGTCCAGTATTAGATCTCGAATTTTGAAATAAATGTTTCGACAAAATTGTTTGGGCACAAGACCTCTTTAATCCAGTTACACACACGCATCTGACATTGTTTCATATTCAAATCAGGAAAACTCAATGTCAAATTCAAATCATCCATCATATCACATCACATAACACATCTCCTAGGTTTAGATAACATAACAAAATCATCTCAGGAATACATTTCCTTACACATGAATTATGGCACATCTGCTACTAGCACCACCGCGTCGGAGATGGTGCTACACGTGAGCAAGAGCAAAGCACCTACTGCGTCAATTTCAAAATAGAACAACAACAAAAAATTAGGAAGGGTTGCAAACTCATTCATTCTCTGGGTAGTTTGATTCGATTGACAGACAGTAGCAGGATGAGGGTAGCATCTCGATTTCAACAGAAACAGTAGTGGTAGGAATGTAGGATTGCGCTGGACAGATAAATGAACAGGAGGGAGTAGGGAGCGACCTTGTGCGTGGGGTGGTGGTTGTAGGGCTGGACGTCGAGCTCGTGGGGCTTCTGGCTAGGAAGTACCAGCAGGCTCTAGAAGCTTCCATCACACGGAATTTCCGCGACAATGGTAGTGCAGTTTGTCTCCCGGGCAGTTTGGCTCGCAGGATTGATCCATCAGGAAACACAAGCTTCCTCAGCAGATCGAAGTCATGGTTTTCAGGTTTGTCACTGCCATAATCACATGCAGAGTTAGCATCAAAGATTTCTTTCAGTTTCAGCACATGAAAAGAAAACTGAAAGTTGTCTAAAGATATACACGTGTGGAAAAGCTAAAAGTTCTCCACTGCCTGTAATGTTTGTTACCTCACGTATACAGCGCAACCATCGATTGCCCACGCTGCAGCGTGGTATTCCGCCATCGGGTGAACGCTTTGTCAACATGACAATGAGCAGAGGCAGACACGAGTGAAGCTACCAAGACAATATAAAATTTATATAATTAGTACCACTGCTCAATGTTTGCAATATTTCAGAAAAGAACAATGAGTTTTCAGTAAAGAGGAACATGTTTAAATTTAGGGGCGCTTCTATTTTTCTTGTCATAAGAAGTGGCTAGAGCCTTCTTTGTTTGGTGAAGGTGCCGATGGTATGCACGTCTGTATTTACAAGAACAACAGCTGGGCTTTTTGTATGAGTAAGGAAAGGATAGATGATTTTTTTAAGATCCACAAACCCAGGCACAACAAGTTTTTACCAGACTATCAACATATATACAGTATTGCAGTTATGTTTACAATCAGGTAGACACACTTGGCATATGCACAACAAATAGAATCTGTCAACATGTGATAAGAACAAAGAACCTACCTATTGGATTTGATTAAATTTCTCTCTCTGCTCATCCTCAAGCGCAACTCCACCGAGAACAACATCCTTTATTCGGCCTGGCAAGGAAATGAAAAAGCACCATTAGGAATGGAAAATGCATATGAGACAGCTATCTATTAAGCACTTGACTGAAACAACAAGAAATCATCAGCCTCTACCTCTAGTCTGGTACCAAATCCCCACAAAATCATGCGGGCCAAAGTCACAAGCACAAAAGCAGGTTACAGCCAGGATCTATGATAATTTTCTACTATGCACTAGTATTACTGGATAACTTGTCTAGCAAGACAAAATACACAGGATAAACTCGTCGGGCGTACAAGGCAGGCTTGCTGCAACCACAAAATCACAAGCCCTCTAAAACCTGGTGCCCATGTTCCTATTATTGTTTGTTCATTCATTCATCACCCTAGCGTAGCGGATTCTATATAACTAGATGATTTATGTGGCTTGGTGACAAAAGCAATCTAAGAAAGTAATCTAGTAACATCTGATCTAAGATAATCATCCATCCATGCTTGTGATTATGTAGGAACAGTAGTAGTAACCGGCACGACGACGCAGTGAAAGGAAACGGTAACTTGTGATTAACAATATAGTACATGATCAACATAGTTAACTGAAGCATTGCTGTCTGAATCCACACAGTTCACTGAATATCTTGGACACTGCATCTTCAGGTCTGACAAGGCAGGGAGAGGGACGGGGTTACCTACAACTGCAGGCAGGAAGATGGGTGGGAGTTGGGCGAGGTCCATGGTGACCTTCCATGCTTCCTCCCTCCCTCCTTGAGTGGTTCTCCAATCCAACACATACATATATATACAGAATTCAGCATGAATCATTGGTCTTGGTTGTATATGAGACTAGTTGGGCTGTGTATTCTAAGCTCCAAGCAAGTTACAGAAGAAACTGAAGATGAATCGTATATAATATACTAAAAATCAAATAGAAACCCAAAAATTAAATAAAAGTAGAGCAAGAAGGATTACAACAGGTTCAATTCAATCAATTCCTAAGCATTGAATCAGTAGCATAAGCATGCAGCAACAACATAAGCATTTAATCAACGGCAGCGTGAGCATAGGCATTAAATCAGCAGCAGCAACTAATCGAAACCAAAAGGTTCCAGATCATGTACATTGGTCCTATACTTCTATCTTCAATAGAATGTTGCAATCAAACATTCTGGAATCTGGATACACACGGACATCAAGCAAACTGTGCATGTAGGACGATTCATTAGCTAAAAAAAGAGAGGCATTTTGGGTGATTACCAAATATAGCCTTCTAAAGCGTGGTTATATGGTTTGAAACTCCGAATCAAGTGGCCAACAAGTGGCTGCTAGGTGAGTATCGATGACTCAGCCATGATTACTGACTGCCTCACCATAGATGTATACTACGTAAAATGCATAGCGCATGTCCATCCTAGTGGATGAAGACGCGTAGTGTGAGGGAGTGTGGGCGCCAGACGGAGACGGTCAAGTATATAATAACTCAACAATTCAGTCAAAGTCACATGGATTATCAATCTATATATGAAACCTTCGCATTAATAGGATGCATGCACTATAACAGTGTTGTGTTGCGTTGCAGGGCTCAGACCTGGGATGGTCAAGACTCAAAGTACCCGCAAAATTAAATAAAATGTTTGAGTTCATTTGCACGTGGCACTGTCCATTTCATAAGAGTAATCGGTACCACGAGTAACCCATTGGCCGCACTAGATAATATCAAGGATTCATGGTCGAATCATGCTAATAAGGCCACACTGACATGAACTAGCTGAAATTTGAATTCTCTGGGAACGATGGTATCTGGACTAAGGTTGCATTGACACAAACCAATTGTAATAAGTACACGCAAATGAAACTGGAACTCAAAGATTCAGCGGAGGCTAAATGCATATAGAAAAACTTCGATTTGGATCTGGAGGCAGAGAGGGGAATATCACCCCGTTCTCTAGGCGGGGAAGAGGAAGCAGCCACTGGCCCACGCACTGGGGGAGAGGAGTAAGGTGCTCCTCCACCTCCTCTGGCCACTAGGATGGCTTGCCGGGGGCGGCTACTTTGGGAGGAGGAGGCGAATCCGTGTGAGGACATCGCCTTTGCTGGTGGGGACGTACGGGGCCGGAAAAGATTCACTGGTGGGGGGCTATGGCCGGCGTGTAGCTTGGGTGGATCCTCCTCAAGGAGCTTGGCCTTGGCGCGGCGGATCTCGGCTTTGAGCACGCGCCGTCGATGCTGGGAGAGGCGGCTGCCCGAGCAAATCAATGAGAAGGGTTCAGAGGTCGTCGTCGTGCGAGGCAAATCGCCAGTAAAACGACTCAGCTGCGGGGGGAGACGGGCCTGATTTGGCCGGCGGGGACCGCTGCGTGTCCTCGCCGTCGAGGATCTGGCTGCCGTCTCGCTCGCACGGCCCGGATCCGCCCGCCGCATCGTGGTCGGAGTGGAGAAGATGGTGAGGTCAGCAGCGGAGCCGAAGGGGCCGGAGACGGAGGCTAGCCGCGCCGGGGATGCCATGAGATTCTCTGCGATCCGCAGGCGGGGAGCGAGGAGATGAGGAGCAGGCACGCGGGCGCGAACGGCGGGAGCAGGTGGTCATCCACGAAAGCGAGGAGGAGCGGCTTGAGGTGGGAGGGGAGGGGA